GCAGAAAAGGAGAGCAGGAAAGCAGGAAAGGAGGGCAGGAAAGGAGAGCAGAGCAGGAGCCCCTCCGTCCGTGGCAGTAAGGTGTGTTTGTTTGTTGCTGGCTTTGCAGCGAGCCCCACGAGCGCGGCGCAGATGAGCCTGTCCAACCCCAGCATGCTGCGCACGCACAGCCTGTCCAACGCCGACGCGCCCTACGAGCCCTGCGGCGACGCGCGCCTCCGCAACAGCTCCGTGTCCCTGGACGAGAAGAGCCGCACCATGAGCCGCTCCGGCTCCTTCCGCGACGGCTTCGAGGAGGGTCAGTGCGGTCCCGGGGGCTGGGGGTGCTCTAAAGTGCTGCTTCTCGGCTTCTTTTGCGCTAGAGATGGCGTTTTGGGGCCAGACTCAGGTGTTTATTATTTCTTATCTGTGTTAAAAGCCACGAGTTCTACAGCAGCTACAAAATGGCTAACTATTGTTGCTGTCGAGGCAGGATGGGAATGAATAGACTTGGCTCAGATGGCTGTGAGAGTAAAACTCCGGTTTATTCAAAATACACCACTCTTTTATACAGAGCTTCACAAGGACCAAATCCATTGGTCCTGAAGTGAAAACAACCCACAGCATTGGTGCACAGTGCTTGACGCACAGTGATAGAACTTAACCATAAACAATGTGAACAACAAGAGAGATAAAGAATTATTTACATTCTTCTCCAACTCTTTCCCAGGCTTCTGCCTGGCTAGAAACTCTCCGTTTCTCTCTTTGACTGAATCTGAGACCCACAAACTATCTTTCTATACCCAGTCTTCTAAGACTAAACTATCCAATTAAGAAATGACACCTAAATTATTTTCACTTTTAACCCAATAACTAATCACTCAAAGTTCACAATGCAGAATTTCTGTCCAATTACAAAATACCACCCAGACCCATGAAGAGGAAGGGAGAAGGACCAGTCTCCACCCTAAAACCTCCATCTTACTTTATATATATATATTACTATATTCTAAAACCCCAAACTCTTAAGTTTTTCACCCTACAATATTACACACTTCTGAGCAACTACACACCTGTAATCCCAGTGCTATTAATCAATTTTGGAAGCCTTTTCCTTGGCCTCAGGTCAAATACAGTGCGCTCCTAGGAGTCAGAGTCTGTCAGCACAGAAAGTCTAAAATTCTCAGTATCCAGAACTCCAACACAAAGGGTGGCCTTTGCATGGGAACTGAGCACTTCTCAGTTCAAACACAGCTCTCTCAGTGTTAGCTCAAACCATAGTTCTAGTGGTGGTTGTTCTGATTGTAGAATCAGAGTGTTGGAAATACCCATTAGGATCATCAAATCCAACTCCTGGCCCTGCCCAGGGCACCCCAACAATTACCCCATGTGCCCAAGAGCATTGTCCAAACACACCTTAAACTCTGCCAGCCTTGCTGCTCTGACCACTGCCTTGGGGAGCCTGTTCCAGTGCCCTGTCACCCTCTGGGTGAAGAGCCTTTTCCTGCTATCCAACCTGAACCTCCTCTTCAGGACATTCCCTGGGGTCCTGTCACCGGTCACCAAGGAGAAGGATGGTGTTCATTCAGTCATTGTGTTGGTCAACACAGGAAATAAGTGTTGTACCTAGACCTTGACAATTCAATAAGTGGTTTAAACATATCCTGTGCTTCGTTTTTAGTGCTCTCAGAACGACTAATTCATGCTTAGAGTCAGCACATCAGTGCTTCTTCAGTCGGAGTATTCTGAACTTGCACCTCCACAGTTCTGTTTGTAGTATAGATAAGTGATATCAGTTGGACTGTTTCTATCCCAGTAACAGTTCCAGTATTTAAACTGTACTCAAATAGCCTTTGCTTTTCATTTCTGCTGAATGTCCTGGCTTGATACAACAGATATTCCAAAGTGAATTGAATAGCTCTTTGAAACATCTAGGCTTGTCTTTTCAGTGCTTCATCATCTTTTCAAATGTGTAACCACACCTGATAAAAAGAACCCGTGTAAATATAATAAGAAAAAGCATTTACCTATAAATGAATATTTAATTCAGTTGCTGATGATCAGACATCCTTGTGGCTGTACCAGGAGTGGCTGTGAGCACACATGAAAATCCTCAAGCACTGCACTTTGAAAAGTCAAGCATGGAGTGGTTCATAGGAAACATTTTCAACATTAACTCTTTGAGTCTTACATCTCCTTTCTGGCAAGGGTTGGGAGGAGCTTGATTGTACTTCACAGGCCACACAAGCCTTTGATGGCTTTTTCCTCTGCTGCTGAAGTCTTGCACTTAGCACTGTTACTTCCAGTGCCCCATGGTTGTTGCTCCCCAAGAACCAGGCATGCATGGGAGCCACGCTTCAGTGTTGCAGAAGCCTTTGAGAGCTACAAAGTGCCTTCCTGGAGATTCTGGTTATCCCATAATGTTTTTTTTGCTGTTGGAGAAGGTAGAAAATATGTATTAGATATGTCTCTGGAAAGATTAATTAATTAATTGGTTATTGACTTTAGTCAGTCTAACTTCAGTACATTTGACTGTATTTTAGAGGTCTGTGGCTAAGGATTTTTATTAAGGGTTGAAAATAATTAGAATAATGCTGTAGGGCTAAAAGCTGGGTCATTGCAGGAATTAGCCTTTGTTTGAATGATCATAAACAGTCAAAGACTGCCACATGTTCAGTCAGGATAATCTGGGAAGGAATTTGAGTCACTGTATCTGTGTTACACTTCAGTGATTTACTGCAAGAACTACTGCAGCAAAATTTATTTGGGTTTTATTGAAGACATCTTCCAAAAATTGTAGCCTTTTAACTGTGCTCAAGATTGCAGCAAGTCCATTTTGGCACGTTGGAGGTTAAACTCTCCCTTGTAGTTCAGAAATTCTTGTCCAGCAGAGAGGCTGGTTTGAATAAGCATTTAATAAGTACTGCATGTTTGAAGACAAATCAAAAAAGGAAAGGAAAATTTGAAAAAATAGGTGAAATGTTCTATTAAGTGCTTTTTATTCATTTAAATAAAGTAATAAACATGAAGTCCAAGAAATATCCACTAAATTATGGACTTGAAAGTGGTTGGAAAATACCACTTTTGTATCTGAGGAAGGAATTTGACGCTACAGGGGACATGCTGAAGATCCCTTTCAGATTTTCCTCAATTTTTCACACCTAAAAGGATAATAATATTTTGCCGGATGGGTTGAGTGTTTAGGTGTAATCTCTGTATTTTTGTCTTCAGGAGAAAGATTTTCCATCACTTCCCTGGCTGTAGAGAAGGCAGGAGTTACCTGCTTACTAGCTCCTGCTTATTTCTCAGGGAGTCACAAGGTCTAAGTGTTTCTGAATATAGCAGAGGTTTGCCTTCACCTTGACAGAATAGATTTAAAAGTATTAGAGAAATTTAAATTTGTGGTTAATGAACAAATTGATTTCATACAATCATCCAGTGTCAATGAAGCATAAATCCAGGTCTTAAAGCTTACCAGCCTACCTCTTAATTATTTCCTAGCACATAATATTACAAGGCATTTGTTTCTCATTAACTTCAAAGAAAGGCCAGGATCTATTCTGTAAAGCCTTTTCTTCTCTTGTCTCTGGGTGTGAAGTACAGTCATGTTCTCTCTCAGCACAGCATGTAGGAGGGGAGGTTGGTCAGCCTTGCAGGACATAACTCTTGTGACAGACAGGGCTCAGGGCTGTGGGGGTGCCAGCAGGAACAGCCTCCAAACTCGCCAGAACCTCACGGGGGAAAAACACAGCATAAAAATCCAGTGCTTGTTGGGAAGGACGAAGATTTGACAAGAAAGTTTTAACGCTTGGCAGAAAGATCTTGGAATGTAGAATCTGAAGAAGGAATAGAAATGAAAGCAAGTTTTGATATATAAGAAAAAAATTGCTGATCCGGTCTTACTGGATAATTAAGAAGGCAAAGGGTATGTTAGCTGGAGGAGTTTTTATGGCTTAAAGCAAAGGATGAACCCACCTCAAACAAGAAGATGTTTCTACCAAGCAGAAAGATACCACAGACATACAAGACTGCCGATGTTGCAAGTAGAAAAAAAGTCTCAGAATTTTCCACTGCAAGAAAACTGAAAAACAGCTTCTAGCTTAAACTGTAAGATACTAACTTTTAGTAACTGGGGAATAGTAACATGAATATGGTAATTACAGTAGTTAAATAGGCTAGAGGTAAAAGTTAAGATATAGATTGGTTTGTCTGTATTATGATGCTCGGCGAAGAAAAGTATATAATGCATTGTAACCAAAATTAAAGGATCATTAGGCTTGTCTCCAGCTGTAGGCACAGGCTCTGTCACCCATGCCCCTGGACTGCTGTAATGCCTTGGATACAATAAACTGCATTTTGAAGAGCTGCCTGGAGTCCCACATTCCTCGCTGTGGCTCTTACAGTGGTCTCTTGGCTCTCCAGTTTCCCCACTCTTCCAGCCAACAGTCTTCCCCAGGAGCTGGGCTCCACCCTGATACTTCAGCCTCCAAGAGAAAAAAAAGTTAAATTTGTTATCATTGGAATGTAAATTGTTATCCTTTTTGTACTACTGACTTCAATACCAGTTTTTATTTCTGATCTCTGGGCAGGTGGTCACAGCTAGAGGCTTTCTTTTCTAGCATTAAAAATGATACATGCTTGCCTGTGCATTGACAGTGCTTTAAAATAATAGGTCCAGACCAATTTGGGTTTGTAGGCTGCATGCAGATGCATGCTGGCTGCAAGAAACAGGGATTGCAGCAGGAGCATAACTGCCTTCAGGCTCCTAATTAAATAGCCCTCAAGATCCTTTAAAAAGAAATTGCACAAGCATATTAACTCCCTAGTTGTCCTTGAAATGATGTACAGGTTCAAATGATGCACGTGAATGAGGAATTCATGGAGGAATTGAATTGCAGAGCTGTGTCCATGTGGCACTCGGAGATGTGGTTTGCTGATGGCCTTGATCTTGCTGGGTTAATAGCTGCACTGGGTGATCTTAGAGATCTTTTCCAACCTAAATAAATCTGTGATTCTGTGTGATGGTGGTGTTTCACAAGGCAGGAGTAGTATTCTCAGAGTTACATGTTCTTTCTCTCTTTTTTTTTTTTTTTTTTTTTTTTTTTTTTTTTTTTTTTTTTTTTTTTTTTTTTTTTTTTTTTTTTTTTTGTCTTCTCTCCTGTATTTAAGTCCCAATGTGATCTTAAAAATTCCAGCTGATGCTAACTCTGTGTTGTGTCTGACCAAGTCCATGGTAAAGTTTCTGTTTCCTCTCTGGCCAGTTAGTAGGGCTCTTTTTTGGTTACATCTCTATTAGGAAAAAAATTCAACAAGGAAGAACGTAGGGAAGCAGACCAGAAAATAATATTATATTCTCTGTGTGAGTCCATTTGTGGCCTTGTGCAATATTGCCTTACTTTGGGCTTTCCATCTTGAAAATCTTAAGGGGAAAATGCAAGTAAAAAAGAGAGAGAAGAAGATCTTAAGCACAGAACATCTGTGATACAAAGTTAAAATAGAAATCTTCAGCTTGGAAAGTGATGGCTGAAGGCATGTGTATTGACTTTTTGTTTGTTATTAAGAGATTGGTCATCCTTTCCTTCTCTTAGCGCAGGGGCATGGAGGCACTCAAGAAACTTTACTGACAGATTCAGCAGCAGGGCTAAAACAACTGCAATGAATTACATTTCTGAACACATGAGAATTTTTTATTACAGACAAAATGTGTCAGTGGATTCAGTAACAGTTAAGGGAGTTAATGGCAGACAGGTCACAGCAGCCAAAATAATGGTCTGACTGCAGTTTCCACCCCTGGAATTTCCATCTCTGCTGATTCCCAGAAGGTGCAAAGATGTACCTGGGGAATAATCACTGTGTATCTGTCTCCTCTTTTCATTCTTTTCAGTGAAGATGGGCTGTGGTTGCAGCCAGGGCTGCAGAACACCATGAGACAGAGCCTGGCTTTGACTCACACCACTTATTTTTAATGTTCTTAGTGCAGGATAGTCCTTAATGTCTAACTAAAAAGATCATTTTAATTGAAAATATGATTACCCGGAGAAAGCAAATGCGTGTGAGGTTTTTCTTCTTACTTTCTTGTGGGTTTTCTAAATTGTCTTAAATTCCTTCAGAAGCCAACTTAGACCTTGTTTACTTCTCTTTCCAGTATTGCCTTAGGATATCACGTCAGTGGGAAAGCAGAGCCCATTTATTATGAATGTAGAATTGCAATAGGTAATTAAAGCAAAATGGCAGCTTTTCTAAACTTTTTTTTTCCTTGCTGGAGGACTTAGAAGAAAGAAAAAGTGATTTTATGCTATTTCATATGGTTTGTGTTCAGTTACCTGAATTTTGAATGAAAGTTTCAGTTCGGTACTATGTGTTTCTAAAAATACAAAAAAGGGAAAAGTAATTTTGCCTGTTTCAGTAGCAGAAAGAATAGCTTCAGGTACTTTTTTCAATAGTGTAATAAAGAATGAAATTATGCTATATTTAAATCCTGATGCCTGATGGTAACAACCTTGAGTATCACAGAATAGTTAGGCTTAGAAGGAGCCTCTGAAGATCATCTAGGTCATCAGTGTATATCCTTTATTGAGATTAAATGCAAAAATTGCTTGAAACGAATCCCTTTCCAGGAAGTTTTGTAGCTATGTTTGCACTGTTAATTTTTAATGAGAGAATCAACTTTGCCTTGTTAAAAAAAAATGTCCTTACTTTAACAAAAGACCCAGAAACCCTGCAGGGAAAGGGAATGTTGGGCTCATTGATGCACTGATGGAGCTCCCTTAAGTCAGCAGAAGGAAGACACAGCTGCATTTAGAGGACAATTCACAGCCCCAAAATTAGACAATGTTTTTTTATCTTGGGTCCTCCACATCTTTTCCTTGAGCATCTGGTTACACACTGGAGCTGGGTGTTGTGTTTTCTCAGGACATTCCTATCTTGGTCTGCTGCTTTAAAAAAAAAACAAAAAACCTCAATCTCACCTAAAATTGAAGATTAAATACTTAGATTTAATTCTGTAATCCCTTCTGCATTTCTTGGGTTTTCTTTTTAAACTTGAGTAAGCCCTTTTGCAAGAATTTTAATTTAAACTATCCAGAGAAATATTTATCTCTGAACAGACCTTCATCAAAACTTTTGTAAGCTTTCTTGGCCACACCTAATTTTCCCCCCCCAAAAAAAAGTATCATGAGAATTTTAAAAAGCTTTACCAAATCCAAGGTTATTGATTGTATCAGCTGGAAATGCATGTTTCAAACCATACATCATTGGTACAATAATCTAAATTTATGATGGATGATGAAATTTGTGAAAGTATTTCTTCAGCAGACTGGTGGTTGACAGTGGATGATTTATGATGATTCTACCCTGTGGTTAGTGCACTTAAATTCATTGTGTTTATTTTCTTTCCTTTAGTGCATGGTTCTTCTCTCTCTTTGGTGTCCAGTACATCATCTATTTATTCTACAGTGAGTATAATGAAATGAAATGTTTATTTATTCATCAAGATTATTGAATTGGCTGGTCTTGCTGTGCTAGTTTTGCCATTCAAGGAGCAGGAAAAAAGCAGTTTTCATTTGACTGAGTTCTGAATGCTAGCTAGGAAAGGAAGGTTTGTGTTCTTGAAGATGTTTATGTTTGAAGATGCCTGTGGATATTTAGCACATTAAACACAGACTTCAATGGCCTAAGGGCAGCCATTGATTTTTTTGAGTCTGTATTTTATGCTGTGCTAAGTAGGTTTTGCTACAAAGCACCTCAGTAGATATGTGGAGATATGAACTTCATTACTTACAGCATCCCAAAATTTGCTGAATAAAGTCATCCCATCCTTATATTAATTATTTACTACTAAAGAAGTTTAAGTTCACTTTTCCATGCACCAAATACTAATAATTCTGAAAAAAAGGCAATTTAGTCACTGTGCCAGTAACATTTTCTCCACATGTATTCATTTTGGTTATCTGATCCTAAAATAAGGCTTACTGGAGTTTGCAAATAGCAGGGGAGCACTCAGAGCTTCATGTTCCTGTGCTTGCTGCACGAATGGCCCCAGTAATGTGTTTAATGGGTGTAATGTGTTTAATGGGTGTAATTTTCCTGGTGGCTGGTTGTGGGCATGTTTTCTTAGGAACAGTGGAGTGTGTGACTTCCTGTCCCATATTTCTCCATAGCTGATAACTGTGGTTAGAAACAGGCCACAGTAGCCACAGTTCTGTCATGCTGACCACAGTGGATGGTCAGTACATCCACTTGGCATCCTCACAGCTGGATCTGTCTCCTCACTTTTTCATTGCCAAAGTGCCTGGGCAGCACCCAAGCGGGAGGAATTTTTAATTTTTTTTTTTTTTTTCCACATCACTTTGGAATGCAAAAATGGAACTTCCTTCCCATGGAGAGATGAGCGTGGGACGAAGGGAATTGCCCAGGATTAACCAAGTTCTGTGGCAGTCCTGGTTCTTCAGAGCCTTGTGCAGTTATGGACAGAGCCAGGACTTCTTCACACATATGTGACTGAGAGCAGTGGTGCACTGGTCAGCAGGCTGAGGTGGAACCCAGATTCCTTCCTTCCTGCAGAAGGAAGTACCTCCAGGAGCCTATTTGCCTTTTCCTTGAGAGTGAATAAATTAGGAGATTAAATTAGACTGAATATGGATGTGGGAATCCAAAATGACGAGTTCACATTAGAGTTCTTGAAATACAAAAAGATAATTTGCATCAATTTGTCGGGCTGGTTGTGTGGTAATATCCTCACATACTTCCTTTTGTTTTACAGCCTGAAGAGAAGTGCCAGTCAGAGGTAAGAGCACATCCTCTTTCACAAGCATGAATGCCACTGTGCATTGTGGTTCTTGCTGGTTTATTTCTCCTTGTTATGATGCACTAAAGTGCTCTCTCAAAACCCACAGATTCGCAAGCTGCGGAGAGAATTGGATGCATCCCAAGAAAAAGTGTCAGCTCTGACAACTCAGCTAACTGCTAATGTGAGTCCAGCTCTGAGAGCAAACATTAACCTGGAATGCATTTAATGCAACAATGACCGCCCAGGTTTTTTTAAGTGACAAAAAGATTTCATGTGTATAACATTCAGTTCATATTATTGATGTGTTTAAATAAATAACTGCATGCATGTGTGGGACATGTCCAAAAATAGCATCCTCTACCCTCTACTAAATTATCTTACACCTTTCTTTAAAAACTGAGTTATAATATTAGTTTGGCTTTGTACCTGTGTAAGCCATCTTATGGTCCTGAGAAGATCATTGAGGACAGGGTCTTTTTTTATAAACAGTGTCTTGCTTTGACATTTGGGTGGGATGAGATACAGAAAAAGATTATAATTGGTAGGAATAAAAGTTAATAGAAACTTGGAGTGAAATGCATTATGCTTTTCTGTTGTATAAAGATGTGGGTCAGTGGCATGACAAATAATAGTGGCATAAGGGGCTCTGGAAACTGATTTTAAGGTTAAGCCTGAAGAATTGAGATACCTGAATTTTTGTTAGTGTAGACAATACTTCTGCTTGTTCCTGTCAGGAATTTGAGGGATAAGGAATTTAAGACACTCAGGGAAAAAAAATAACTTGGAATCCCAGAAGTGTTGAGGCAATACTGTATGACCCTGAGCAAATTTATTTGTGTGTTCTGTGCTGCAGTCACAGATAGCAGGAATCTGCAACACAGAAGCTTGCAAAGAAAATAAGCAATTCTTGAGTAAATAAAAAGCTGGAGATGAAAAGTCAGCAGATCAGATCATCCTGACATCCTGGATTATGGGAATGAATAAACATCAGAGCATGTGCTGCTTGAAGGGGACTTACCTTGACATCAGCTCTTGGAATTGGGGGAGTGCAAAGCTTGGGACAGGAAAGGACAAGTTTCACCTGAGTAGTATCACAGGAAAGGTTCAAGGGGAAATCTGTGCTGTCCACTCTAGGCATCACAGTGCTTCATCCAGCTTGAAAATGGGGCCAGAAAGCCAAGAACAGTTATAATAGAGAAACCAAATAAAAGGGCTTTGGCTGCATGAAACCACTTAGTCACTGTCCCAAGAGGAAAAGAAAACAGTTCCAACATCTTTCAAAACTTAAATCTTATATTTGCCTTTCAAATACAAAGGGGATGGATACAGGAGTTGGTTTTCCCCCAGAAACTTCTTTTACTTGTGGGAAAGCAGGACCAGATTCTCTTGTATAGGTTTTTAACGATGTTGTTAAATAACCCAGCTTGTGTCCTTCAAACAAAGAACTTGTCAGCTGAGCAGCTCATTTGGCTCTGCCTTGGCTTTATTGCATTCTCCTTCCCACAGATCAGGGTCACTGGGCTGGTGCTCAGCACAGGCTGCTGACTGCCTGGCCCAGCTGCTCTGCATCTGCCCAAGAATTTCTGTGTCATTACCACTGCTCTCTTTGTGGAGAACAGTTTTTAGTATACACTCCTGTATGTTTTTGTTTGGATTGGGGTCATTTGGGGTTTTTTGGTGGGTTTTCTTGTGGGCTTTTCTCAAAAAAAAAACCAACAAAGCATATCATTTGTTATTTTGATAATATTCCATTTTTGCTTAGTTCACTTTGCTAAAATTTTGCAGTGTTTTATTCATGCTATTTAAACTTCTTAGACTTGAGCCTGTCCCTGATCTGTCCATAAACTGGCAACAGAGATGTTGCTATAACTGTCCCAGTATTAAATTTCAGTCTTTAGCCACCTCTTTCCAGAGAACATCCTTTTTCCATGTAAAAGGCAAGGTCTGTTCCCAAAAAGACTGAGATTAATAAATGCTGTTAGTTAAGACACTTGGACATTGCCTTTAAACATGATTCCTTTAATAAATGGCATTTAAAACTTTGACAATTCAAATTAATGTCTTCAATTTACAGTTTTTTTCCTGAATTTCCTTGCATAGACACTGCAGTTGTTGATGCTTCTCAAGCCATCAAGGGCATGAATTTAAAAACATTTTGCTCCAGCTATAGAAAATGAAGATACATTTTTTTCCGTAGCTGACTGAATGATTTCGAATTAGGAATAATTGCAAAACCCAGTGTTAAAAGAGCAACTGTTTTTTAAGGCTCAGGTCAAAGCATTAAGGGTTTGTATCTGTTACTAATCCATGCAGTCCTGCTTGCCCATTTATTTTTTGCTTTTGGAAAGTATTGCTGAGGATCCCTGAATATCAGCTTTGTTGTTCCCTGTTCATCCTCCCCAACAGAAGCTGCACACTCTGTGTTTTTAAAATAAATATTTAGATTTTCCTACATGTGTAGTGTTAGGATTTGGATTACTTTTTGCCATTTTCTCACAGTCTCAGCTCTGCTTATTTTCAGAGGGGCTGATGGGAATGAGAGCTGCACATCCCCATGTTATTGTACTGCTCATGTTTGTTTTCATTGTGAATGTGAGAACAGTTATTTAGGATAAGTCAACTGTGTGCTGCTGCTGAATGAGTCTGGAATTGCTCTGTGAAAGGTTTTGCTATTCTGTATTTTTTAGGTGAGAAAATATCTTTTTCTGCTTGGAAAGATTTCAACGTTTTACTTGTCATTGTGCATATAGAATTATTTTTAATGGATAAATAAAGCTATTTTTTTAAATGGGTAGTGTAGATTATTATGGCTAATGAGACAAATACATATTGAAATACACCTGTGATCAGTTATGTATGCACATGAAATACCCATAAAACAGTGCCATGTCATGGCTATAGAAATACAGTTTCTTACATTCTTTTCTATCTTCCCAATCTACTTTTCCTTCCTATTGCTTCTCAGTCATTTTCAATTCCTAGCTGATATCTTTAATGTAATGGACACTGTGTTCTCTGTGCTTCTTGGGAGAAGAATGTCAAATCCTTTTCCCAGGAAGCACATTTTTTTTCTTTCCTTGGGAAAAGAAAAGAGGGTAATTGGCCAAGCAGCAGGAATTTTGTATGATATGCAGCAAGCTGACCTCGGCTGGAAGCGAGGAGCACCCAAATATTGGAGAGTCAGATGCAGGTGCATCATCTGGCAAAGCATCTGTTCTCCTGATGGGACAAACACAGTGAGAACCTCCACCCCTGTGACTGCCAGCATCTTTTTTGCCTTAATTATCCACAAGGAATACAGTGATTTAGTTGGAGGGAAATTTCTACTTGACTCTTTTCTATACAAAGACTTGATTTATGTTATCTTCTTGGCAAGCATTTCCATAATGTGTGCTCTACTCATTTGACCTTTTCTAAGTAATGTAATGTTGTTTTTTCTGCACCATTTACACAACAAACAGTGCCATGCACTGGGTGGACTGATTATAAATACCTGCAGAAATGCTCCTTTTTGGGGGAAGAGAACTGACTCCTCCTTTGTGGTTTGATTTCAGGCTCACCTGGTGGCAGCGTTTGAGCAGAGCCTGGGGAACATGACAATCCGATTGCAGAGCCTGACCATGACAGCAGAACAAAAGGCAAGCTTCAAAAGGGTTTGGAAGTCTTCAATTCCGTTTCCAGCATTGCTGCCTGTACTCCTTCTGTAGTTGTGTGGGGGAAAAAGTCACAAACATAAGTCAATTTGACTTAGCTCCCTCATTTGGTGTCCCTCGGTCCCTCTGTGGTGACAGAGTAAAATGTAAAAATAATTTGTATAAAACACCGATTTTCTGCACTGGGATTTTGTGGCAACTGATCAAGTTACTCCTATCAATTGCTGCTTTGGACACAAGTCTTCAGTACTGCATATTTCTGTAATATATTTCATCTCAGTGCATCCATACATGGGTGTGTTTGAAAGAAAGACCATGAAGAATACTTACAAGACTGGCAGCATTGTGTTTTTGAACAGTATTCTTGAATAAACATTATTTCTGCATTACAGAATACATGCTTTTTTTTTTTTTTGTATCATAATACCCAAGTTGTTTTGCAGCCTGTTGAGGGTGTGCTTCCCCTCGTATCCCAAACCTCATTTTCACCTCCTTGTGCATATATATTCCATAAATTCACTATGAACTACCAAAACTTAGATGGAAAGGCAGCTTCTTTGGTGTTCTTCTCCTGTCTACTATGATATGTTTTTTTCCCTTATTCAAGGACTCGGAACTGAACGAGTTAAGGAAGACAATTGAACTCCTGAAGAAACAAAATGCTGCTGCTCAGGCTGCCATCAATGGAGTCATCAACACACCTGAGCTCAACTGCAAAGGTGAGGGGCCCCTTTGCACCACATACAGAGACTCCAGGGCTCTCCAGTGAGACCTCAGTCCTCTGGGTCATAGCTGATGTGACCATCAGAGTTACCCAGAGACCAGAGCAACCCACTAATTTACACTGTGATAAATTGCTGAAGGAAAAGTTTGAAGCATCTCAGATTTTAATCTCGTCACGAGAAACAAGGATTTGAAATCCACAATCCATCCATGGGGGATAAGTGATTGTCAGAGTGCTAGTTTCCTGAAATGTTCCTTCAGGAGTGGATGATGAATGCCATTCATTTGATTTCCTGGATAATTGTGACACTGCCTCCGTTCATCCCCAGGTCCTGGAGCTGCTCAGCCCGCGGAGCTGCGGATCCGCAGGCAGCACTCCTCGGACAGCGTCTCCAGCATCAACAGTGCCACCAGCCACTCCAGCGTGGGCAGCAACATCGAGAGCGACTCCAAGAAAAAGAAGAGGAAGAACTGGGTGAGTATGTTTTAGCAGACTCTCTGAGGTTTTTGTGGCGTTGTCAGGACGTGCACGGTGAAATCCACCCGGCTGCTCCTTCCTGCCTCGTGCAGCAGGTCAGCCCAAGGACTGTGCACGGCTTAAATCCTGGGTAGACTCTCCTGTGAAGGCTTAAAAATCACAAGTGATGTATATCCTTGTGTTGACTCTGCATAGGATTAAATTTTAGCTTGACAGCTGAAAAGCCAGTCTTAAATTAGAAATAGCTGTCTGATAGGGTGTCCAGTCTCTTAAGGAAAATGTGGCATCTGTCATTAAAGTAAAACAAACCCACAAGAGAAGATCATTCTTCTGAGTCTTCTTTTGTTTTTCTCTCATAGACCTTTCTTATAAGTGAACATATTAAACAATTTAAGAACTCTTTGTCCAGCATGAATCTGGACTGCTAAGAATAATACTAAAAAATACTGATCTTTAAAAATTTTTCATGACAGACATATCTTTTGGAAGTTTTTGCATTACTTACCTGTCCTTTCCCATTTTTCCCTCTTTGCTCATCATGTACTATGTACAAGGTACCCTGTACTGGAGGAAAGGTACATTATCTTCAACTCCATTTTCAATTAGACCATAACTGCCTTAGTGACCTAGTCTGATTGTAGTCTGGACTGAAGTCCCTAGAACCTGTATTGTAGCCAGTAAAACAATCCACCCTTTTCTTCCCACTGAATTTAAATCTCCCTGGATCTCTTGGGTGTACAGATAAATCTGTAGAGATGCAAAATGTGCTTAGAGCTGGATAAAGCTTCATTTGTATTTGCGCAGTATTCTCAGAAATGTTGATGAAACTCCTGAACTGTAAGAATGAGCTTCCTGAACAAGTTCTTGTGTATATTTATCTCTTACCTCAGAGATTTCATTTTGGTATCTTTTGCTATTGCCAGCTGCTTCACAAAAGCATTTCCACCCTGTCCCTTAAATAATTGGTAGAATGGAAACAACATCTTGTTCAAATCCTTCTTGTACTGTATGTTAGTATATAGACAAAGTAAATTGCTGTAACTTTTAAATTTCCAGCAACCCTTTGTTTGTGACACAAAACTTATGTAGTCATTATGCCTTGGTTAAGAAAAACACTTTTAAAAATTCTTGTTTAGTTTCTATTCTTTGTTATTGTAACCTAGTGGATATGGTCCTACGTCAGCCTACATTTCTCATTCATCATATAACTATTTTTGAAGATGGTTAAGGGAACATTTTCTTACTATAAAGTTAAATACATTTTTCATGAAGTAGAAGATACAGGACAGTATTTTTATGTTGTTATTAAAATTGAGTACATCATTGCTGTGAAGATTGGGAATTAAAACACTACAGAGAAGAATATGTGACTTGAATCTAATTCACACATTCTTTATTCCACCACTGCTAAGGAAGTTCTCAGCCAAGGTCTTTGTGTTCTGTGTAGAAGCAATGCAGATGTCCATTCAGAACTGAAACATCAGAGTTTCAACAGTTCTCATTGTAGGAGTCTGTCTAGCTTAAAAAACTGCTTTCAGTTCATATTAAGCCAGCCTGTGTAGAGTATGTAATTTGCAATGGCATTAAAAGGCGGACATGGGTTATTCTGAGTGGGAGCACAGTCATCAAGTCCAGACCTTGTTTCCATGGGGGTTTAACTTTTATGGCTCCCTAAAAGTGAAACTATATATCTAAGAACAATGTCCAATGCTTCTTGAACACTACTGTTAAATTGTAACTTTAGGGTCACAACAGTTTAATGACATGAATATGAATTCTTGTTCAGAAAATGGCAGTCACATTACTGAAGGCTATTTTAGTTGCAGGTAGGTAGAGAAGTTGCAGTCTTTCCACATGGTGAAATACCTGTTCCTGCAAGAAAAAATACATTATTAACTTGGCTCTTAGCCAAAGCACTCTGCCTGAGCTAAGGAGAAAATGTAATTTAAGTAGTTAAGAGAGTTTGGATCGGGTGTCTTCCTCAGATAATGCAAAAAAATGGCAGTATGTGGTTTGAGACACCTGGTTTTGGAAAATACAGGGTTCTGGTTTTCAAGTAAGTGATTGTTAATCATTGGTCTTGTTTGTCTCAGAAATCCAAAACTTCCCTTATCAGTGGCTTTATCTGTTAAAACATGTTTTTTTTCCTTCCCCCACTTCCTTTTGCTTGCACTTCTTCCGGCAGGTCAATGAGGTAAGGAGGACCTACTTTAAACTCGGAGGTACAAAGCTAACCCCCCATTGACACCACTAACCCTGCCAGCACCATTGACCTGGGCTGGGCCCCGGGCCAGCACAGCTGCAAGCTGTCACCATGCTGCTGTAAAGCTTGCTGCACTGAACAGAGTTTGCTGTCAAATAGTGCTTAAAAATTAGGAAGCATCCATAGCCACTCCTATTGACCTTATTAATCTGGTAAAATAGTTAAGGGAAAAAAAGCTTTCTTATTTTTCACCCATGTTACTGTGTATGTGAGTATGGCTGTAGCATCTGGAGTATTTGCATGTTGAGAGTTTTTACTCGGTGGCTTTTTTTGCTTGGTTTCACTTTTAATGATGTGGTCTTTTTTTTTTTTTTTTTTTTCCCAGTTACGCAGCTCCTTCAAGCAAGCTTTTGGGAAAAAGAAATCTCCCAAGTCAGCATCTTCTCATTCAGACATTGAGGAGATGACTGATTCTTCCTTACCTTCCTCACCAAAGCTACCACACCACAACACCACTGTTTCAACACCACTGCTGAGAGCTTCCCATTCCAATTCCCTGTAAGTGATTTTTATCATTTTTAGACAGAAAACGACATGGAAGGCATTTTGCTGCATTGGTAGAGGAAAGGCAGAGGACAGAAATGCTGAATTAATGTATTCAGAGATTTAAAGATGCATGAGCTGACTCCCAGCCCAGTACATTTCCATTAGTGTCCAGGAACCTAAAAATCTTTGTGTCAGTGCTGAAGTGTGAATATTTCACTGAGTTGCTCTCTCAGCAGAATGTACTGAGTATCAAGAATATTTATAACCTTGAGGTGAAAAATTAATTTAATCTTTTGCTGTTAATTAAACAAACCAGGTCAAAGCTCGGATTTTGTTTCTCTTGTCTAAACACAGCACATACTGTATTAATCTGTGATGATAAGTTCCCAATTCTATTGACAAATTCAGATAAAGGAAAGGAAATCAAACATGTGGTTTAGTGATACAGATGAATGATACAGTTAGATGTTATCTAGCTGCTTATGCCTGGTGGATGGAGATGATCCACTCCTCTTCCCTTCTGTAGCTCCCCAGCCACCTCTGCATGGTCCTTTCCATGGCCACCTGTGAAATAAAGTTTAACAATTCCCTTGCCATGCTGTTTTGAGTACGAACTCACATTTTAGAATGTACATGGAAAATTCAGTAAAACAGCTTTTATGTTCATTCCATCAGTAGCTTTGTCACTTGAGCAGGATAAAAAAATACAGAAAGTTGTAACAGGCAGTTTTGTGAAACCTGTAATTAGCAGACAGCCTCCTGACCTTGGGAGGTCGTGCAGAGCTTCCAGCCTGATTTCAGAACAAATTCACTGGAGTAGTTCCCCTCCACTTGTTTTCACATGAAGAGGTGAGAACAATAGCAATAGTTTCCAGCTGTAGAACAGTGATGAAATGTCAGTAGCAGAAGATAATCCTCCATGATTTTTGTTTCAAAGCTTCTTCTGTCTCTTGAGCCTAACTCAGTGCATTTCTGGTGACTACAGCAAGTTGTGCTTTACAACTCTCAGGCCAGAAAATTGTCAAATGATGATCCCATCTGTCATCAGCCAAAATGCTGTGTGGGTACATCTCACCTCACCTTGCTATGGAAGCCAAAAGGATAAACGTGAACAAAGAGTAAATATGTGAACTGGGGGAAGGATAGAGCACGAGTAAAACTGGTGTCTTTTGGCTAATTGGCTTTTTGGTGGGGAAAACCCATGAAACTGATCAGGGAAAGACATGTTAGGTAAAATCTCCCTTAAAGCGTGCAGCTGTGTGGTTGTTCTTTGTACAGATGCAGTTACAAATGTGCTGAAATGTTGTTAACTCACTCAGATTTTTTTTTTTTTTTTTGGTGGGTGGAGGGAAGAAAAATGCCACTGAAAACTTTTTCAGCATATGTTCTTTAAAACAAGCAGGAATTTATCGTGCTTGAATAGGTGTAGAGTTCCAAAGCCCTCCAGAGCAGTTCAGGGAAACCCAGCTGTGCACACCTGGTGAGCTTTAAATCTGTCTGTGAACTCATCAATCTCCAACCAACTGCTGTTAAATGCCTGCAACCCCCTTAATTTATTTAAATTTTGGCTTTAGAAGTTTTCCTTTACAGCAACTACCATTAAAAAAAAAATGAAGACTATCCAGTATAGGTGATTTCAGAGAATTCTGTTTCGGATGCCGATTAAAAGAAAATAACCCTCAGACACCTTCGTTTCACCAGACTCTAAAATTTCCACGGCCCGTTTAATACCTGATTTACAGCATCACTAATTCAATAAGCCAAAAGTGCTACCTGCTTCGAGCAGGATAAAAAGAACAACTCCTTTTCTGCTGACAAAAGCAGGAGGGAGGGGAGGAACGAGCGCGTTTTGTGGGCGTCCCTCCCGCAGGATTTCGGAGTGCGCGGACAGCGAGGCCGAGACGGTGCTGCAGCTGCGCAACGAGCTGCGCGACAAGGAGATGAAGCTGACGGACATCCGCCTGGAGGCCCTCAGCTCTGCCCACCAGCTGGACCAGCTGCGCGAGGCCATGAACAGGATGCAGGTGAGGAGCAGCTGCCAGAGCTCACCTCTAGGTCAGGGGTGGCTCCGTGTGGTGGAAAAGTCTCTCCTCCAACCCGAGCTTCCAAAGAAAGGCTCAGCAGTCTCTGTTGTCCGGTCTCAAGGCAGTTTATTGCAAGTTATCTAAAAGATTTTCTTCTGGAGCTGCTGTGGTTTGCTCAGAGCTCAGGCAGAGGCACACACACACCCTGACATCCTCTCTGACTCCCGACTGCTTCTCCCCTCACCTAGGGCTGCTGCTCTCTTTTATATGGTACATTACATGTTACATGGTTACAGTTTTTCCCCAATGCCTATTACCTATATTAAATGGTGCTTTTCTATCTTTTATATGGTACATTACGTGTTACATGTTTACAGTTTTCCCCAGTGCCTATTACCTATATTAAATGGTGCTTTTCTATCTTTTATATGGTACATTACGTGTTACATGGTTACAGTTTTTCCCCAATGCCTATTACCTATATTAAATTGTGCTTTTCTGCTCTAAACCAATCTGTGAGTGCCAACATCACCAAGAACATGGTGGTAAGGAAGGAGAAAGAGGGAGGACAGGGCAGGCCCAAATCCCTCCATCTTAAAACCTCTGACTGCCATGTACAAGACCTAAAACCCCCCTGCACAACACTCAAAAAGGCATCATCACTAAAAGGCAGCTTCAACACCTGGCTTTGCTGCACTCAGCTGCAGCTGTTTCCACCCCACGACAGCATTTTGTTGGCTGTCAAAAGGTTTCCATGCTCTCTGCCTTAATGTTAGCTGCATTTCAGCATTATTCAAGTCCCACATATTTAAGTATTTTAAGATTCTTTGAAAAGTTTCATAGAAAGGACATTTTAATAATTTAAATCCATAATTAAGACATGATGGAAACAGCATTTCTGCCAGACTATCATTTATTCTTAAGTTTCTTATGTTGCTATCTCATAATCATGTTTTCGCCATGCCTTCTAATGTCTGACTTGTCTTTTCAAGAGTGAGATTGAAAAGTTAAAAGCAGAGAACGATCGGCTGAAATCTGAAAACCACGGCAGCTGTAGCAGGGCTCAGTCTCAGGTTTCCATCTCCTCCTCTCCCAGACACTCAGTGGGTCTCTCTCAACACAGCCTGAACCTCACGGAGTCAACCAGTCTCGGTGAGTTTAATGAGAAGGGTGGCGGGGCAGGTTTTATCCTGCTCTTGGAAGTCTTTGGTTGGTTAGCCATGGAAAAATGAAAGCGTGAGGATTATTAATAGCTGAGGTGTGGAAATATGTCACGAGCTGGCACAGAGCCTTCTTTTAAATATCATCGTAGGTCTGCTACACCCTCGGTCAGAGGTGTCCAATTATGACCTCAGCTCTGAAAAGTCATGTTTAAAGCCATTTAATGGTGCACATTTGCCAGGGGATATATCATAGGAAGGAAAATACAGAGTAACTGGCTAATAATTTTCAATGACCTTCCCTTTTTGAGAGGGATGTGTGGCAGGGAAGTCAGCCTGTTTCTCATATTTTACCTTGGGGCATGTGAAGCCCAGACGTGTTGTGTTTGCCTACAATAAACCAGAATGGTCTCCATTGTAATTGAGCTCCAGCTGTGAAGCTGTTGATGTTTCCTGTCCACAGACATGCTCTTGGATGACACTGGAGATGGCTCTGCCCGGAAAGAAGGAGGCAGGCATGTCAAAATAGTCGTCAACTTCCAGGACAAGATGAAATGGAAGGAGGTGAGTTGTGTTTCATCCCCAGCTTTGAAATGTAGGTGACCTGGAAATGTGTGAGGGAACTCAAGTCTGCAAAGGACTTTCAAGGATTTTCTCAGGAAAGCAATTTATTGGTGTGTTGATAGTGATGGAGAAGACACTTGGCTACCTCCAGCTCCCTTGGAGCTGCTGAAAGGGACTGAAATGCCAGAAGCACCAATCTTATGGAAGAACTTGACAAATCCAAACTGGGAGATCTGTACCATATTATTCTAGTTCTAGTTGTCCTCTCTGGCACAAGTACTCTGTTTAGAATGACATCTCTCAGATGTTTTCCATCCACAAGTATGTGAAAGAATCCTAAGTACCCAAATAAATTGCAAATATTGTAAAGTTGCATTCTGTCTCGTGTGTTTAACATACTGCATGCATGAATGTATTACACAGTCCTTGCCAAGCAATGGCCTTGCTATCTCACATTTTTGAGCACCTGTAAAAGTGTGTTTAAGGAGTAACTTTGTGTCTCCCTGAGGAATGGACAAAAATCTGAATGATCAGAAAGAAAATGGACTCAGCAGCTCTTTCCATTAATTACCTGCTTTGCATTAATTAGTACAACACTGGATAAACAGTAAAACTGCTGCTGATTGACTGCAATCACAGCAAGTTGTAGTAACACTTCAAATCTTATGATAGAAATTAGTTTTCTCTTCAATTAATCCTTCACAGTGAGTGCAGCTTTAGAAAAGCAGAAAAATTCTATTTATTCTGATTTCTTTTATCTGCCTTAAAAATCACTTGCAAAACTCAAAATGCCGTGATACATCAAATATAATATATAAATATAAAGTCTCTTTCTATATTACTAGAACCATGTATACATTAGAGCCTTGTATAATTCATCTATATATATGGGTTTCTGTTCCCACAGCAGAATTTCTAAAAATAAATAGGATAAACTTTGCAAATGCAACATCTTTGATTGAAGTCATGGAAGAATAAACTTGACATCTACTTTTCTGTCCAGAATATTCCTAAGAGACTTTCTGTCTCTTTGCTAAACTGTAATCCTCTCAGAGATTTTTGAATTGTTCATGGATTGATAAATAAATAACTTAACATCACAGCCACATGAGTATCATTTAGATTTGTGACTCCAACACTGCAGAAAATGTTTATCACGTGAAAAGAATTCCATATGCTGTTCAGTAAGGAGGCATAGTAAGGATGCAGCATTATTTAGAAGTAAAAGGGGAGGAGGCAGGGGAGCCAGCATTTGAATTACATTAACCACACTTGTCTGATAGAGTTATTGCTGTACCTTTAGGATTCCAGGCCTCGCACCTTCCTCATCGGCTGCATTGGAGTCAGTGGGAAGACCAAGTGGGATGTTCTGGATGGGGTTGTGAGACGCCTGTTTAAGGTCAGCGGGTGCAAAATGCGACGGGCTCGAGCTCTCCTGGGGGAGGTTCTGGTGGTTCCAGGCTGTGCTTCACTTGGTGCATTAAGCACTGCCACAGCAGAGAGCAAATCCCAATGCAGTCCCTTTCCACGGCAGGAGTACATCATCCACGTGGATCCCGTCAGCCAGCTGGGGCTGAACTCGGACAGCGTCCTGGGCTACAGCATCGGGGAGATCAGGCGCACCAACAGCGCCGAGACCCCGGAGCTGCTGCCCTGCGGGTACCTGGTTGGAGAAAACAACACTATCTCCGTTACCATCAAAGGTAATTCCACCTCACCTTGCCTGGGGGAGTTCTCACTATTGGGTTTTTTCAGAGCTTGCTGCGTCAAGAAACTCAGAGGAGTACAGGCTCCTTATTGCGCTGCTTTTTCCTATTCCTACCATTTATTTGCTTCCTGCTAATTTCATTTGATAAAGCCAGCACTTGGGGCATGCTAAGTCTGTAATTTCAGCAAGTTTTCAACCTGTAACTCTAGGAAAAATTACACACTCCACAGATCTTCAGTTGTCCTGGAGAAGACCTCACGTCACAAGAGATGCAGCGGAGCTGTTTGAGCAGCAAAGTATTTTCCAAATGAGTCAAGCCCCAAAATTTCATTAGCTCTTTATTGCAGCTGTAGTTGTTATTTCCTTCATGCAGGGTTAAAAAAACAAATAGATCATCACTCATTTGCTTGATTGGTCTCCCTGAAGGGTTCCTCCTTAAGTACCAGGAAGGAGGGAGCCCAAATTTTACGAAACTCCTTAAAATCTGGATTTCTCAGCATGTATGGTTTTCAAAATTCCCATTGATTTCATTCTGTAATAGTGATAATAATTTAGTATTTGCGTTTCTCATTTGGTTTCTCAGGGAAGAACTTTTTTGTGAAAACTCTGCTATGAAACTAAGTTCAGGGGTAAAACCCTTAACCTGCTGCATTTTGACCATCTATCAGTTCAAAGTTAGAGCAGTGAAATCTGCAGACAGATGGTATTTTAACAGCAGTGCCAAACATTCTTCAGATCAACTCTGAAATTTGACTGAAAGCAAATTTTTGAATATTGGTGTAAAAACTAGGTTACCTTATATAGCAAAGCAGTCAGCAGGAAGACAAAATAAACTGTGAAATACATCAACTTACTGAGGCTTGACATGAACCCAGGATATTCTACTTATATAAAATGCATTGTCCAGTCATAAAGCCTGACTGAAATATTGCACAAGGTCTAACTGTGCCTGTAAAGCTGCAGTTTGAGTTTATATTTAACTTGCACTGACTCGACTTGTGCCTTGAAGGTTCGTAAGTGATAACAGTTCTCAATAAAATAGAAATGTATTTAATCAATTTCTGGAAAATCACTTACATATACCTTTGAGATATAAAGCTGCCTATATAAATATTTAATATTCCAAGTAACCACTGAGGTGCAAACATTTCTCTGGGTGATCTGCCAACTTCCCTTCCTGCTGTTTATTTTGAAGCACTGTGTATTTTCCCTAAGCCAATTCTGCCTAAAGTGACTGCTGACATGGCATAAATGCTTATCAGTAGGAGTTTTCTGTTAGAGGAGATAACTATCAGCATACAGAGGAGGAGTTTAATTACAAGCATTTGGGAAAGTAGGGGGAGTTGATGATAGCTGGGGTTTTTTTTTTGTCTAGTGATCCAAAAGTAAACAGGTACATTCAGGGTGAACGTGTGGTGAAATGCTGTAAAATGGATAGCTTGTGCACGAAAAGCTGGCCTGGAATCCTTTGGAGTGGCAGCTTCCAAAGGGCCTTAGGGATGCAGCTGAGGACTTAAACAAGGCTGCAGGAGGATCCAGGCTGAGCCCATGGGTCACCCGTGCACTTGTTTTCCAGCTTTTTTTATCCCTCAACCACGAGGGATTCTGGGGTGGGGTTTAGCTCTGAAGGAAGAGCAGCTTGGTCAGGTCCATTTGGACAAAAGCTGGCAATCCCCCTACGAGAGGCCCGTTTCCCTGCTGCAGGTGTCTGTGAGAACAGCCTGGACGGGCTGGCATTCGAGTCGCTGATCCCCAAGGCCATCCTGCAGCGCTACGTGTCCCTGCTGATGGAGCACAGGAGGATCATCCTGTCTGGCCCCAGTGGCACGGGCAAAACCTACCTGGCCAACCGGCTGTCGGAGTGCATGGTGCTCCGGGAGGGCCGGGAGCTGGCCGAGGGCATCATCGCCACCTTCAACGTCGACCACAAATCCAGCAAGGTGAGCAGCACAAAGCCTCCCCGCCCAGCCACGTGTCCAGCACGAGAGACCTTTCCTAGTCCCTCACTTTGAACGGAGCTTTGTTTTCAAAGCGTTGTTGTGGGAACCCCAGCCTTACTCTGGGGTCCCATGTGGTGGTGAAATTCCTCCTTCATCCCGTGATTCCAAAGAAAAACAGCGCAGGCTCTTGTTGTTCAGTCTCAAGGCAGTTTATTGGTAGTTATCTAAAAGATTGTCTTCTCTGGCTGCTGTGGTTTGCTCAGCAGCCCAGGCAGAAACACACACACACACCCTGACACCCTCTCTGTCTGCTGTCTTCTTCTTCTCTCCCCACCCAGGGCTGCTGCTATCTTTTATATGATATATTACGTATTACATGTTTATAGTTTTCCCCCAATACCTACTACCTATATCACAAAGTGCTTTTCTACTCTAAACCAATCTGTGAGTGCCAACATCACCAAGAACATGGAGGCAAGGAAGAAGAAGGAGGAAGAACAGGATCAGCCCACTTTCCTCCATCTTAGAACTTCTGACCCCCATGTACGAAGTAAAAACCCCCCTGTACAAGTGTTAAAACCCCCCTGTACAATACTAAAAATTTTCCCCTCTACTTTGTAACTACATTTACTATACTATCTAACCCTTTGTGACTGTTTGTTCCACCTCCAAAGTTGGTAACTCATTCCATGGCTCAAACTCAAAATCACAGCTGTTTCCAACTGCCTGCCAGGGTCTCAAATGCTTCTGACCAAGGCCTGGAACCTCTAAAAATGTCTGAGAGACATTCTGAGTTCCAACACATTGTGTTTATCCTGAAGGAAACAATACTTCAAGGTTGTCATACTCACCTGATTATGGGTCTGGAACAGCAAGCTTCCAGGTGTGTGTTTAAACACCTAAAGGTGTCACGATTTTCAAGTGTTTAGGAGCCTGAGAATTGCCCAGGAAGTTAAACACCTGCATAAAATTCCCAGAGGCTTAAGCAATCCCTATTGCATGTGGGCACTTTTCCCAGAACCCTGAAATGCATCTCCAGGCTGTCAGGAGCTGCTGCAGCTGCAGGTATCAGCAGTTGCAATCAGGTTTGGAGGGGCTGTTGTGCAGACACATTCCTGGGCAGGTAAGGCGTGTCTTTGCTTTTTTATGTGCTGCTGGTTTTGCTGAATATACTTCCAGTGATCATCTAGATTAAAGAGAAGGGGAAAAAAAAAAAGCTGTGTATTTCATGGCCTTTGGCATATTTTCTTCTGGAGGAAAGGGATGGTTGAAATTGTGGTTCAGCCACTGGTTTGATTTCAGACATGCTCTAAAGCTGCTGAGAGCATTTCAGCCACTCAGCAGCAGCACCAAAAGCTCATCCTTCTTTCCAGCATTATTGAAGGTGTCCAGATTTGGCCTCTGATGAGGGATGTTTTGTTCCAGATGAATTTTGTCATCTATTTTGATGGAAACACAGTTGCAAGATGATACAAAAGATCTAGCTAGAATGCAGAGTTTGTTTTGGTATGGGGAGAGTTGATCAAGTTCCTGAAAATAAACAAAAATATGTTTTAGACCTCTTAGGACTGATATTGATGAATAAAAAGCACAAGCTAAATTACAAAATATTACCCCTCTTTAAGCCCTTATCTCACACAGGATTTCTGGCACAGTCTCTTCAGCATAAGCTACAAGAGAAAAAGAAAACCATATCTTGTGTTTTCTCATAGAAAATGTGTGATTTGTTAGATGTCAAGACTTCTTTTGCTTTAGATTTTGTTACCAAGCTTATTTATCTTGATTGATTTTTTAAGAAATGTGAAGAAAAAAAAATTTTTTTGCTTCTTTTCTTTATATCTGCTTTGCAGGAGCTCCGCCAGTACCTGTCCAACCTGGCAGACCAGTGCAACAGTGAAAATAATGCTGTGGATATGCCTCTTGTCATAATTTTGGATAATTTGCACCACGTTAGCTCCCTAGGAGAGATCTTTAATGGACTCCTAAACTGCAAGTACCACAAATGGTAAAGAAATAGTATCAGAACACATTGCAAATGTTAATCCTGTACTCAGAGCACTGCTCCTGCAAAATCCAATCACACAAAACCAAAGTCTGCATTAATTTAGTAATGTGGAGGAAAATGACCAGACTGTCCATATTGTGGACAGTGCTTCAGAAGGATCTTTTTCTTTCATGAAATTACCAATTTTTCTGAAATTAGTAATTTAAAAGTAGTTGTATTTGCTTCATGACATAGATCATTAGTAGTAAAACCCCATTTGTAGTGAAAGGTCCTGTTTTGGGACTTCTGGTTTACTTCCAGAATTTGATGTTCACAGAATCTCAGTAGAGAATTTGGTGATAAGTAACTACAAAACCTTCTTTGACAAAAGAGCTTTGAATTATCTTTTTTTAATGTTCAAGTTGTACTGAAAACTTGTTTTTCAAAGTTCACAGGTTTGATTTTTTTTTTTCTCCCAATAGTCCATATATTATTGGCACAATGAACCAAGCCACCTCCTCCACACCTAATCTTCAGCTTCATCATAATTTCAGGTACTGTTTATTCATGTTTCTCATTTGTGTTTGTGGGCTGGAAAAGGAGAAATGGCTACTGAGTCATTTGAAATTGTTCTTATCAGCTGAAATAGCAAAGTAAGAGGGAAATGCCATTTGCTCCTGGTTTCTGCCCTGACATGTTCAGCTGGGTTGTGGTGCTGTCATTAAAGGAACTGGGTTCATAAAACTATTTATTTTATAGAGGATTGTTAAGATATTTGATTTTCTACCAAATTTTCAGTAAGACAATATTTAGGCAAAGCAGATTAATGAGAAATGAGCTGAAACAATGCACAACAAATATTGGCTCATCTAGTAAAATACTCCAAAGTAACTTCTGTTGAAAAACATGTATGATTGGAATAGCCCATTTTGATCCTGATAATCTGGAAATAAGAGAAATGTAGTCAGGAATGGTTACACTCAGTAGCATGGCAGAGAAACAATGTGCATTTCTGCTGTTGTGCCATAGATGGGTGCTGTGTGCAAACCACACTGAGCCTGTCAAAGGCTTTCTCGGCCGTTTCCTGAGGAGAAAACTGATTGAAACAGAGATCAGTGGCAGGATGAGGAATGCAGAGCTGGTGAAAATTATTGATTGGATTCCCAAGGTCTGGCAACATCTGAACAAATTCTTGGAGGCTCACAGCTCTTCTGATGTTACTATTGGTAAGTACTCTGCCCAGGCATGTGTAAATATATGTATTTTATTTCCTTGTGTATCAGGCATATCTTTGTATACTTCCTTGTGCTGTGTCACATAAAAAAGGATTTCTTTAAAACCCTACTTTTAGATGGTATCACCCTGTTTTTGATGCTTATTGTGCTTGTGATTTGAGTGTGATATCTGAATTTCCCTCTCCAGGTCCACGGCTCTTCCTGTCCTGTCCAATAGATGTAGATGGCTCTAGAGTTTGGTTCACTGACTTGTGGAACTACTCCATCATTCCATATCTTCTGGAGGCAGTAAGAGAAGGGCTACAGGTAAGCAGGCAAAGGGAAAAATCATAGGTCTAGAATGGCATCTGTTCAAAAGGCAGCAAAACTCTGTAGTGGCAACATTTTGCACATTGAATATCTGCATGTCTTTGAAAATGTAATCAGAACTGTCAATAATCTCAGGCAGAATTAGTCTCTTCAAGCACTGTTGAAATAGAGAGTAGAAGTGAATAGATGCCAAACTGCTTATGTTTGCAGTGGGAGCAGTTAGACATACAAATACCTTTCCAGAAGCACACCTTAAAATTACCCTGTGCATCAGAAAAATATGCTTGTCATCATTAACTTTGTTACGCAGGATTTTCCTTTGGAAATCAAATCTTTCAGCATAGGAATAAAGCTTTGCATGGAGAGAATGCATACATGAGTGACAGGAGCAATATCAGTGACATTTTGATTACTTCTCAGTATATAACGTGATTTTTTTAGTAGATTCCTTCATAATTCTTTCACAGGATGAAGTTAAATCATCATTGATTGTCTGTGTTTGGTAATTGATTCATAATCTGGCAATTTGGAATAGTTTTTGGTGTCTGTATGACTATGAAGCTTGCTGGAATCAGGAGGAGGGTTCAGCAGAGAATTGCTATGGATTTGCCATTTAGGTAGGGAAGAAAATGAGGTTTTTTAATAATCAGCTCTTTGTTCACAGAAAAAAACCCAGCAGAACCTACTTTAAAATACAGTTTAGAATTAATCTTTTACTAATGGCTTCTTTAAAAATTGTGAAATACATTAATTCTCCAAGTTTTGGGTACAATTTGGGCAGCTGCCATTTGAAATTTGTCAGTACTTGGAGACCTTATTCTCTTTGGAATTGTGGTAGACTCTTAGACATAAGGAGAACAATAGGTCCTGGAGTACAAAACACACTCAAGAACTTTGCTAGAAATAGAACAGGAGAACCATTTAACATGAAACCTGTTTTAAAGGCAGGTAATGGGAGCCAGGAATCTTTCCAACCTAAAACAAGAGAAATGAGAGCAGGTGATATTGCTTGCTCTTGAAATGGAGAAAACTGATACTCACAGTAATGCATGGGCTCCTTGTACTGGGTTTTGGAGCTCTCATATCATTGATCAGTATGTCTGGAAAGCATTGAAAAATTAGTAATGGAAGTGGAGAGAGAAATTGATAAAATCATCCTTTTTCTTCCTTGTTCTGCCCAGTATCTCCATCTTTCTTTAGTGTATTTGAGTGTCTTGTGTTCCAGGTGTAAGGACTTCAGTTTCTCACTGTGCTTCAGATTCTTTATCCCCTTCAGCCCCATTTCCCCAAATTGCACTCATTCATCCCTATTTAAATAATTTCTCTTTTGTTTGGTTGATGGATAAGAAGATGCACTTTAGTACTTGGAGGGTATCCAGAGTGGTGCTAATGAACAAGCTAATGCTAGAAAGATGGGTTTCATCTGGGGCTATTTTCTGCTCCTCACGCCCACAAAGTCTCTGAGTGCACATCTTCTTTCCTGAATTTGCCTGCCAGAAAGCAAAGGTGGACTCCTAATTTCACTCTGATCTCTGTGGATCTGCTCTTAGCTATTTTTATATTTGTTTCTCATTTAGAGAAGTATTTTTCTCTATCAAATACAAACAAGCCAAATGAATCCTTACAATAATTGCCCCCATGGGAGCTGTCTTGTTTTATTCTTCAAAACAGCGACATGGAAATTAGAATGTTGTATAAAACCCAAGTTCTTCCTGCTTGGTCTATCAGTACAGAATGCAGCACCAGCAAAAAGAGGACCCAGAGTCCCTGTGGCTTCCTGCTGCTGTCACTCATACTTCAGTGATTTTTCTTTCATGCTTTGTGGAGCAACCTGTTCCATCCTTGTCCCATGGAAAATGTGCCAGTGGGAGGGGTGGACAGACCTGGTTGCCATGGAAGAGGGTCGTGAGTCATTTAGTCTCTCCTGAGCTCAGATCCACTCAGAGTTTTACAGGAGAAAAGATGTGAAAAATACAAAATCCTCGCCACTTACTAAGTGACAGGTATCACTGTAAATTTGAGAACAAGGTTAAAGCAGGAAATCTGGTTTGCCACATCCTGAAGCTGGGGAGATGAGGCAGCAGGGCTGAAGGATGGAGGGTTGGGGCTGTGGAGGAGGCTCTGTTTCAGATTTTCTAGCACCATCTGCTGGCACCTCTGCTCCCTCCTGCTTCACAGCACACCAAGGGTTGGTACTCACAGCACTGTAATACTTGGTGCACACAAAATCTAAACCCATAAAAAGCCTACCACGGAGAAATAGTATTGAGGAAAGTGAGATAGTCCCAGATCCATCAGAGAACTGGTGAATTTCTTTGCTAGACCATTGCTTTTACCCTTGTGCAGGGGGATAAAGGAAGGGGACAGTGACAAAATGTCAGAGACAAGCTCCAGTTGCTGAAGGATGTTGATGGTGATATTTATATAGTGGAAATGAATGTTTTAAAGCCACTTGTAGTTGTATTTATGCTTTTGGGAGTAATGAGGCATTCACATGAATGTGTTGTCTATCTAAGGCAATATGGAATAGAACAGGGAGAGTACGTTGGGATTCAGTAGGGCAGTCTGTTCCATCCAGAAAAACATTTTTGAAGCAGAGCTTGCCTACTTAGGAACCTGAGCATGGACAAATGCTGCTGGTGCTTCTTCTGGGTTGAATACAAAAAAAGTCTGACTTGAAAACTTTATGCCTTGACATCCATCATTCTTGCCTGATGACAGATCTCACATTTCCTCTTCCACATTCCATGGATGGCAGTTTGTAAGGCAGCTGCCAGTTCAATCCAGGTGTCAGCACTGATGGCTTCTTTTGTGTGCTGATGTTGTTTAAGTTGACTTAATTAGGTGATGTTATTTTCAGGCGCTTCTTCCTTCAGCTGGTGTCAGGAGAAGGGCACTGCAATCTTGGAGAAGGTGGTCTGCTCCTTCCAAATCAGTGCCATGACAAAGGGCTTTGTGTGTGTTTTTAGGGTAAGGAAACTCTCACGTTCAGCCCTGCTAGCAAAGTGTTTCCTGCAGCCCAAGAGCCGAGGCACGTTCATTCTGGTTAGGTAGACAGTGGGTGAGATGGTTGGAATGTTTGACATGGTTTTGTGCTCTTCCAGTTGTATGGGAGGAGAGCACCCTGGGAGGATCCTGCCAAGTGGGTGATGGACACCTACCCCTGGGCAGCCAGCCCCCAGCACCACGAGTGGCCTCCTCTGCTGCAGCTGCGGCCCGAGGACGTGGGCTTCGATGGCTACTCCGTGTCCCGGGAAGGCTCCACCAGCAAGCAAGTCCCAGTGAGTGATGCTGAAGGAGATCCTCTGGTAAGCTCTCATTCCTGACCAGCAGAACTGTTTCTTTTGCCTTGTTTCTGGGGATTGGAAACAGGAACTGGTCTGTGGCTGTGGACTAATCCCTTCAGTCGTCTCATTTTCTCCTTTACTGGCAAAGCTGTGTTTTACCAGTAACTTGAATGCTGCTGTGATTTACAGTCAATACCTCTGTCCTGAGTCTCAGTATTACTGACCCTGCTTGTTTCTCCTTTCCTTCCTTGCCCACTGGCAAAGCGAATGCCGCTGTAACTGTCATGTGGAGTTTATGTTGTTCCTGCCTCAAAATACAAATAATCATGAACTTCCTTGCCTCTGCAGATGAACATGCTAATGAGGCTGCAGGAGGCAGCCAACTACTCCAGTCCCCAGAGTTATGACAGCGACTCCAACAGCAACAGCCATCACGATGACATCCTGGATTCCTCCCTGGAGTCGACGTTGTGATCTCCCTCAGACAGAAGTTCTTTCCACTTGGCAAGAGCCCTGATCACAGGCTCATAAAAAGAACACGTTCCTGGGCTGGGATCTCAGTATTAAGAGCTGCAAGAACAAGACACTTGGAGCAATCTTGAACCTGGGTGCAGGCAACCCAAGTGACCTTTCTATTGTTTTTATTTTGACAATGATGAGAACTGCACTACTCCTTTGTTTCCTTCTTTTTAGTTGCTGTAAGCTCTCATGCCGAAGATCCTGGAGATGTTAAAAATAGTCATCATTACTAAGTTGAAGGGACTGGGGTGGGGGCAACTTCACAGCTGTGAAGTATACAGCTTTGTGCCATGTGCTGTCTGGAAAGAGAGGGGAGAGGTAATATTTGCCTATGCTGCTTCTGACCAAACACATTTACGTGAGGGCTGGACTTTTACCAATCACCTTTGTGGGTTTAAACTCAGCTTCATATAGTTCTGGTGCTATAATAATATCTCTTGCCTCCGTAATAATACTCAGTGAAGGCCAAGCTGCAAAACAGGGAAGTTTGAATAAATATTAAAAAAAGAGAAAAGGAGAAAAAGAAACTAAAAAAGTGCTGCTCTCCTTGCCAGTCTTAGACCTGGGCTTTCTTTCATTGTGTGTTTATAAAGATTATATATATAAATAGGAATATATAAAAATATATATACAGTCTGAACAAATCAGGTTTTTTTCCAAACACTGTGTAGCAATCAATTCTGCTACAAGTGAAAGATCAGGTAGCCTTTTGCTAGTCAGGGCCCAATTCTCTTCCCACTTAGATCCACACCACCAGCTGGGCTGATTTCTGTGGCATTTACACCCCTAATCCACCCTGAGGAGAGGGGGCTTCCCTCCTTTGCAGAAGTCAGTGGCAGGGCTGTGCCCCGCGGGGTCCTACAGCCCCAGAGGACCCTTGGCAGTGCCCAGGCATGGTGAGCTCTGTACACAGAGGTGAGCTACACCCCTGCAGAGGGATGAGTCAGACTTGCAGTTTGTAATTCTTGCCATGAAATGTGACAGCTGTTTTTTAGAAAACTCTGGGTTTTGTTCCGAGGTTTCGTTCCAATCAGCACAACCGTAAGGGGGTTAATTAAAATTCAGCTCTGTGGCATTCCAGTGCTGCTCTGGTGACACTACTTACTTCCATGACTTTTCTTTTTAATTGCAAAGTTTAAAAAAAAAAAAAAAAAAAAAAGCATTTCAGCAGTATTCAGGTCTGGGTAAAAAAAAAAAAAAGATAAGGTACTGAGTACTGCATCTTTTGAGTTTAGCTGTGCCATGCTTTTGAGTTGTGGCAGAGCTGTGAGCCTGGTTCGGTTTCTCCTCCTCTGTGAACGCACACACCTCCACGATCAGTGTTAGTTAAGGCTTGTAGCCGTGCTGGGGAGCAAGAACACCTCCCAAAGAGCTGCACTTTCCTGGTGACACCCACCCCAGCACACCAGCTGGACCTCAGCCAACACCCCCTCCTCAGGAGGGGTCTGTACGAGCCTTTCCAGCTCTCCTCTGGTGCTGACTTTTAAAAGCGATGCCTTATTTTGTACTAATTGTGTTTGATTAAATTAGTGCTGTATATTATGGGATTTTATTTAAAGAAACAGGGCTAAAGTCATCTCTTGAAATATCATAAGTTGCTGTGAATATTGTTTGTATGAGATACTAGAATTTGTTTAAATGTGACAAAAAACGGAGAAAGATGAGATAACGTTTCAGGTTCATATCAATCCACAGCTAATAAATCTCTGAAGAGCTGTTTTATCCATGCAGGAGGGACAAAAGCTTTTCAACTCTAATAAGTTACAGGAATATGTTGGTTTTTCAATGTACAGAAAGAAATCTTATTACAAACACTTCTAAAGGAACATAACAAACAAGTTCATGCTTTTGTGGCTCAGCTTGAGAGGGTGGTTTTATTATACCTCATGACTTTCTGTAATATAACTACTTTGTCTTACTAAGCTGGTCTTGAATCTGCTCCTGTTACAACTTTTAAGTGCTGATGACTTTTTTTTAAAAGAAAAATATTGTAAAAGGAAAAATTTTAATATTTTAATGATGGAGGGAAGAGCTTGTTGTTGTTACTGTTTTAACCTTATGAACTCTGATTTCATTATTTCACTGAATGGAATAACAAAGGTTACTCAACTAATTTCCCTAATCCAGTTCTTGGTACTGTAAAAAAATGGGTTAGATCTGTATGGAATCAAATCCATAGCATGCTGATGATGAGTTTGAGAGAAGTTAATTTTTCCAGTAGTCTTGACAATTCTGCTTCCCAGCACTGACTTTACCTGCTACTACTGTGAATTTTGGCACCTAATCCCCCAACTGAATCCATGCAGACAGAGCATGTGCCTGTAAAAAAAATCCAGTTGCAGGGCTAGGGCTTTAAATGGATTTTAAATATCCTAGAAAATGTCTTGGTTGACCTTTAACTGAGTGCTAAAAGACATGTTTAAAGTAGTGTTTTATTTGTGGGGAACGGGGTATTTTTTTTTCTCATGTTTAATCCTGTGCTTAAGCTCAGGAAGAAATTTCTATTATCTCTTCTTTTTTATTGACACTAGCTTGACTTCAAGTGAGATAGGCAATTTTGAATAGGCTAGTCATTCTGAGCATCACAATATTCCGTGTCTTTTCTGAAATTTGGGAAGCAGGGTTACCTGTTGTGCACACATCTTAGTTTTTATCAAGACTTCATAGATTAAGTCTTTCTTTAGGTGACTTTCTTCTCATTTAAGACTTTTTCAAAACACTTCCTTTTTTTTTTTTCCTTTTTTCTCCTCATTACAAAGTTGGCTTGTTTAAAAAAAAAATATCAACAAGAAATGCAAGATTCTATGCAACATTCATGTTGAGTTATAAATTGAGAGAATAAACCATTTTCTTTCCTTCAGAACTGCCAAGAATGATACAGGCCATAAATGAGATGTGGTTTATCTGAAGAAGGGGAGGGAGGGGGTTGGTGAGCCTTTTTTGTACATTTTGAAAGAAGCAAACTTGATATTTCATTGTTGATGCTTAACTTCGATATTATGTGTATGAAATCTTGTCTAAATGTGGCAATTTTCTTTCAAGAAAAGAATAATATACAAAAGCAAAGCAAAAAAAAAAAAAATCTTTGTTGATATTAAATGGAAGGTTGTTGTTTTGATCTAGTCATTTCCAGTGGAACAGTTTATTAAATATGTTCTATAAGATGTACATTTTTTCATTGTAACATAGAAATGTAAATATTTGATTAAAAGTGCTGCATTTTGATGAATTTTTTCTAGCCATTTTTAAAGAGAAAACTAGGAATTGAGTATTTTGTGTACGTTTATGATGTTTTCCATTTGCTCCTCTCCCTATTTAATTTTCAGTTCTCATTTAGGATTGGAATTGTGAATGGTCTGTTTGAGATCATGCCTCCCCTTTCTCACTCTCCCCGTTTTAACCCCTTCCCCACCCTGTGTCATGGAGAATAAAGCTGATGATTGTACCAGTCTTAAATTATTCATGATTCAATAAAATTGATGCTTATTTATTCAGATTTGTGGCTGCCCAGAACTTTTTATCCCTTCCTAAGCACCATTTTATAACTTTTCATTTGCAGATCATGGGGTTCACTCCTTTGGTTTTGTTGGCTTTATTAAATAATTGTGAGGAGGCGCCAACAGCCCTCACCTGTCCATCCAGTCTTGCCTGGAATGTTTCCAGGAGCATCTCACTCCCTCCTGGACAACCTTCAATTCCATGTGGAATTGTGAAGAGAAAATCCAATTTTCTCTTCACCCATGATAGAGACATTATAAAAAAAAAAAAATAAATACACAGTCAGTAAAAACATGTAAAAAAAAAAAATCCTTCATGACAAAGAAATGCTCTGGCTAAAAAAAAAAA